TAAATCAATGCTCAAATATATTAATTGGTTTAATATTGTTCAGCGTTTCATAACATTTCAAACCAAGCCAGAAGACAAATGTATAAAATGTTCAGTAGTTTGAGCTTGTTCTCAGAAGTGTGTGTGTGTGTGTGTGTGTGTGTGTGTGTGTGTGTGTGTGTGTGTGTGTGTGTGTGTGTGTGTGTGTGTGTGTGTGTGTGTGTATTTTTGTCTTGGGGTTATATACGTCACAGTGAAGGTCTTCTTGTCCTTCTCTCAAACCTTGATGACGGCCAAACATCATTCCTCAAACCCGTGAGAGTGACGAGACAAAAAAAAATCCGTAAAGAAAAAACATTTGTGGGAATCTAAAAGAACAAAGATCCGTTACCCCAATAATCATACATCTGCCAGATGAATTTCCTCCATAAAACTTTTGAAGAACAAGTCCAGATTTGACAAGAATGACACGGCACCAAACTCGCACCGCTGAGCCAAAGCAAACTTTTAATGCTTTGCTGCAAAAGCTATTCAAAGTTATTGTTAGCTCATAAAGACAGGCCTTCAGTGGAATGCGGTGTCACCTCAAGGTAATGCGTGTCGTCTTCTACAATCATCCTCCGCCTGGAATTGACAGCCTGTCAAGCCTCACAAAAGGCCTCGTGAGGAGGGTGAACAACTGGTGTCACTGGTTTGGAAAGAGGAAAACGGTAACACAACCACTTTATGACCCCTGCTCGCCCATTAGAGCCAGGCCTAAGGGGGCAAGAAGCAAGGTCGGGCTGTGGGAGAAAGCAATAAGCTGGGCTGTTCTGCCCGGGGTCTCGCAGACTGTCTCTGCACATAAGATTTACGTGTCACAAGTCCAGGTGCTGTTATGATGAAGAGGGAAAAGACGTCAAGTCGTCAAGGGTGATGAGGTGGAGTGCATAGACTTGTCTTGCACTTAAAAGGTTTGGCTGTTTTACATGTGTGAGTTGTACATCATGTATTTAGTCTGTGGCAGTTATACAGCAAAATAACAGGGGTCGCTCAGGTCACATTCGTAGATTGGGACTTGTTTGGGCCAGAAGTGGATTTTGTTAAGTGCTCTAATTTACTTGTGCTTCATGGAGTTGTCTGTTTTTTAGTGCGCTGCACTTCAATTGATGCTGACGACATTATTTGCACAAATACTTTTGGAAAGAAACGAAGCAATTTGAGTTTAGCCTACAGCTCTGCAATTAAAGTCTAATCAGGAGAAACGTCCACTTACGTTTGTTTTTGTACCTGTTTGGGCAGTCTGTGAGAAACATTGGTCACTGTTATAGTTGACATTGGCCATTTTAAAAGTGCTGCTTCTCTTCATCAGCTATTTTCCACTTCAGTACTTTAAAGTTGAATTACTTAACCGTGTAATTCTAATACTCTTTGCACTATGCTATGGATTTCTTATGCAGGTACCGTTGTTATGCGCGTTAAGATGTTATTGAAGGAGCGTCAGTGTTTTTAAAAATCTGTAGTTTTAGTTATAATTAGCAATTTGTGTTATGACATGTTTAATTGTATACATACACAAAACTGATACGAGATGTTCATTTGTAATCTATAGTTTATTTTCCATAATGTAATGGCATGTTTACAAATGGGGTTGGTTTAACATTGTTATTCATTTTTGGGCTAACCAGTGGTGGACAAAGTACTCAGATCTTCTATTGGTAAAAGTATGGATACAACAATGTAGAAATACTCCATTACCTGCAAAATGGCCAGATGTAGCTTTTGTACTAGCAGTTCTGCACATTAATCAATGGACAATTGTAATTTGATTTAAAACAACTATAAAATAAATGTTAATAAGCAGTAAACCACATTTATTTTGACATTACATTTACACTTTCATGGAGTTGGTGTAATGGTTTTCACTTTATTGTAAGGATATCCTCTTATTCATCTACCTAACCTCAATGTTCCCACCCTCAGCTCATAGAGATGTGATGTACAGTAGATGTACAGCCAGCCCCTCACCACCATGTCCAGTCTGCAGTGGTGATGGATCGGTCTCCAGGTCTGCTCCATATGGCCTGGTGGGTACAGCAGGTCAGTGGGAACCCACCTTGGCAGCGCTGCTCCTGCGTCAGAGCCCCGGGACAGATGGTGCCAGGCTGGGCTGAGACCTCGGGCAGGGCAGGGTTCCCGCGATGAACAGCCGCTGATTTACGCCGCGGCTCCGGACCGAGGGCAGGGGTGCGGGGGGGCTCCTTCTGCGCAGCTGACCCCTGCTGGTTGCAGGGTCATCCATCGGGAGGGGGAGGAGGTGGGTACAACAAATGGGTGTCTGAGAAAGGGTGGTTTGGTCATCCCAGGGGACTTCATCCTGTGGTCAGCTGTAGGATCTGTGCAGCATGTGTGTAGGAAGAGCAGCCTGTTAAACACATTTCATTTAAAACCCCCACTAGGAACAACAATCGTTACTTTTACTGTCTCAGGCAAGGCGCTGTAGGCAATACCATTTTTTTTTTTTTTTATGCATTGCCCAATTTTAAAATGCATGGTTTTAGCCTCCATCGTCTTATTTTAGATAAAAGAAAACAACCACACTCCGCTTTTAGGTGTTTATTTTATTTGCATAGTTTCGGGCTAAATTATGTCTAATTTGCATAATCTTTATCCAAAAACTTTTATCAAGTAAAACCAAAAAGTAAATTATCGACTCAAAACATCATTTTGTTTTACTTTTTATCTGTGGGCTTTTTTCCTTTCTTTTTGTCTCATGCTTTCATTCAGAAATCTCCACTTCAGTAGCACTCACAAACACCAACCTTTCCAGTCTCATTCCTATCTATGTTCTTAAGGCTTTTACAGAGGCCTTTGTTGATATATCACTCATAGCCTAGTTTATGTCTCATTGTATTCCTGAACACATGGTGGAAATGGTTATTTATGGCTGTTGATAGTAACTTTTGGATTTTAAGTGATACGAAGAGATACAACTCTTTGACTCTAATATATCAATGTTCAATGTTTATCCCGTTATATATTTACTAAAATAATAGCTAAATTCCACATTCAAACATAACATTTCAGAAAATGCGTTTTATGATGATATGTATTAGTTACAAATGTTACCCTATTCAACTCTAAGGTGTCTCCCAATTAATGCTCAATCATTGCACAATATAATTGGTGTGTCATAAAGAAAACAGAAAAGTAGCATTGTCCTTGTAATATTTAAATAGTGACTACTACATGTTGCTCTCTGTTGTAGTCAAATCATTCTAATGCAGCTCAAATCCATCACTCCTAGTTAAAGTTCATTAATATAAGAATGGCTTTTAAATGCTCCCACGCTGGTCCTGTGATTTATCTTTAGCGGATTTTGTGTAGTAGAAAAAAAACACAGTTGAATTTAAGGTGATGGTAATAGGCTATTAAGGCGTTTTAATTGGGAAACCCCCCCCATGGCAAACTCTCCCTCACACCACACCGCAAACTAATGAAATCAGTGAATAGCCAGCTTGAAAGGGAAGGACAAAGCAGAGATAGAGAGAAGACAATATCCTTGTGTGGGAGAATTAGTTACACTCAGTAGTCTAAGTATTCAAAGCGCACAGCAAAAAGAAGCAGGGGGGTTGGGGGACTAGAGAGGGATTAAGAGAAAAGTCCACACAGGTGGGTTTCTGGGAGGGAGGAGGGGTCACATGACAGGACGTTACCTCGTTTGATAAACAACAGCCGGGGCCCACAGGAAGGAGGAAGGGAGTTATTTTATAGGTGGAATTAACTGCTTCACTACATCAGGTATTCATTATGGTAAATCTCCCAGGTGTGCTCTACATGCAAGTAAAGTCAAACATCTTAGGAGGTTGGGTTTGATGCAAAACTATTGAGACTGGTACATATTTGCCGTGGACATTTAGGGTGGGAACTGGCAAGGACCTCACAAACTGATGCCAAATCACAACTGACGTGTTATTATATTAGTGATGCTTAGATTTGTTCTTTATTTCTTTCAGCTTTTGTAACAGAAGAACTGTCCGGACAGGCACGATTAAATACAAAATCATTGGTAGAGCTTTACAGCTTTTTTGGAGTGGAGTGGATATACTACAATGAAAAGTGTAAAATGGGGTCTAAATTCTGATGCAACATCTGTATTTGAAGCTTGACGGATAACACAAAGATAACAAGCTTTACTTTTTAAATGTATATAAAAGTGCCTGCAATTTATTTGACAAAATATAATATATATAAAATGCTGAAAGTCAATAAGTTAAAACAACCCTAGAGAAATACAATCTTTATCGTCACACAAATAATTCATTTTATGATGAGAATGGGCCAACTGTTCTGTGATGAATGATTTCCGACAGGTCCTGAAATAAATAACCCAAATATGACTTTCAGGAGGTTAAAGTTTCCCTGAAAGTATAGATAACTAGGCAGCTGCTTTTCATTTCTCCCTTTACCTTCCTAGAAGTAAAGCTAGTGATAACGTTTTGGATAAGAATAACAGTGATAGCACATTTTGGAATTTCATAGTTTCGTGGGTCACTCATCGGCAACAATAAAAGTTGCCGACATATCTGATTTATTGTGTTTGTTTTAAGGTCAATAACACATATTTTCACA